GAGCCGCCACATATATATTTACTGTTTCTATGTGGATAATTCGTCACCATAATATCACTGTGAATTATTTGTTTATATTATGGTTTATTCACCTGTATAAATATTTTTATTTGATTCGATAATTTTTATCTGATTGATCTCTAATTTTTAATTTTTTTTTAAAATATATTTTTCCGCCAACGGTCTCAAAGAAAAATTTCAAAATTTTTCCAAAAAATTCAACTTTCTCCAACGGCTAGGAATAGTATTTTTCAATCTATAAATTCATTTATTTTCTCATTCATTTCATCAAAACAAAATTTTTCATCTCTCTAAAAACTCCCTCCGAAAAAAAAAGAAGAAGAATTTTGAAGTTTTGAAGTTTTGAAGAATGTTTCGATTACTTTTAATATTTGTTTTTGGAATCATTATTATGTGTATCTATAATCTTTGCGTTGTAGATTTTACTCCTTAAGAATTTCGTTTGACCATTAGTTTACTTGTTTGTACAATTTTTCTTTTAGTAATCGCTTGCATTATTAATATAAACGGTTCATTTTAAATATGTATTAATTTTATTTCTATACGCTTTTATATAAGTGTTTTTCATGTTTTAAAATAAATTAAATAAAGGTTTCTAATAATATTCTATGTTTTTATTTTAGAAACGAAATGGCAAATATTGAGAAGCTTAAGTTTTCGGCTCTACACATCACTTTGGCCAATTATATATTTTGAATTGCCAACGTCGAATTAAATTTACAATCTCTTGGCTTAATAAAAACCGTAAAAGAGAATAATACTTCGACGGTTCAAAAAAGGGAAAAATTGGTGATCTTTATTTTAAGACACCTTGATGAAAGTATGATATGTGATTATGCACACATATAAGATCCCAAAGAGATCTGGGAATCTCTAAAAGCTCGAGTTGATAATCGAAAGAAAATAAATCTCCCACTTGTTCGGGATGAATGCCAAAGTCTAAAGTCCAAAGACTTTGATAAAGTGATGGATTATAATTCCACTATGGTGTAAATTGTGGTTAAACTAAAATATTATGGTGATATTATCACTGATTCTCAGATGCTTGAGAAAATGTATACCACGTTTCATGAAAACCACATTACCCAGCAAAAACTGTATATGTCATGCGGGTATACCGAATTTTCGGATTTATTTATGGTACTCCTAATAGCGGAAAAGATTAATGAGACCGCTCATGCGAATAACTAAAATGCTTGTAGTGAGATTGCTAATCTCCAATAATGCCATTATATAAGTATTATGTATTTCAGTTGTTTAAAAAATAAAGTTCTTTCTGAAAATGAACTAATATATGATTATTCTATATTTTCAATATCAGAGAGATTTACTTATATTTATTAACGTTTATGTTAATTACAGAAATGGATCATATTACAAATGGAACAATATCCAAGACAAATCTTGGGGATATTTGCATACCGGATAGTGGAACAACGCACAGTATTCTGAAACATAAAAAGTATTTCTCTGATTTGAAATCGACGAAAGTTATCGTTAACACAATATCAGGTCCTACAGACTTGATTGAAGGAAGTGGCAAAGCAAATTTTAAATTGCCTAATGGAACAAAGTTTTCCATAAATAATGCCTTATATTCTCCGAATTCTAAGAGGAATTTGTTGAGTTTCAAAGACATATACCTTCACGGATATGAAACTCAGTCTGCAACTGAGGATGGAAAGAAGTATATGTATATAACTTCTAATAAATCTGGAAAAAGACATGTCTTGGAAAGATTTCCAGAACTTCCTTCTGGTTTGCATCATACCTATATAGATGTCATAGAATCATATCTTGTGATCAAAAGAAATCCAGAAGATCTCGTATTATGGCATGATCGCCTTGGTCACCCAGGCACCACAATGATGCGACTAATCATAGAAAGCTCACATGGTCACTCATTGAAAAATCATGAGTTGGAACATGGAAATAAAATGACATGTGCAGCGTGTTCTCTTGGAAAGTTAATCATAAGGCCATCGCCAACCAAAATTGATAAAGAATCACCAAAGTTCCTTGAACGAATTCAAGGCGATATTTGTGGACCGATACACCCACCATGTGGACCATTCTACTATTTCATGGTAATGATTGACGCATCTAGCAGATGGTCACATGTTTGTCTATTGTCATCTCGAAATTTGGCATTTGCGAGATTTATAACTCAAATAATCAAATTAAGAGCTCAGTTCTCTGATTATTCCATTAAGAGAGTTAGACTAGACAACGCTGGTGAATTCACATCCCAAGCATTCAATGATTATTGTATGGTAACGGGAATTGAAGTTGAACATCCTGTAGCTCATGTTCATACACAAAATGGCTTGGCGGAATCATTAATTAAACGCCTGCAATTGATTGCAAGACCATTGATCATGAGATCAAAACTTCCAACCTCTGTATGGGGACATGCCATTTTGCATGCAGAAGCACTCATTCGGATAAGACCAAGTGCATACCATAAATACTCCCCACTACAGTTAGCATTTGGTCGAGAACCAAATATATCCCATCTAAGAATTTTTGGTTGTGCGGTGTATGTGCCTATAGCACCACCACAACATACAAAGATGGGACCACAAAGAAGGTTGGGAATATATATTGGATGTGATTCTCCATCAATTATAAGATACCTAGAACCGCAGACTGGTGATATTTTTACGGCACGTTTTGCCGATTGTCACTTTGATGAGAAAGTATTCCCGGTTCTAGGGGGAGAAAATAAGCAAGTAGGAAAAGAAATTAAATGGTGTGTATCATCCCTGTTACACCTTGATCCTCCTACAAAACAATCAGAAATAGAAGTTCGACGTATTGTGCATTTGCAAAGTATAGCAAATCAACTTCCTGATGCTTTTGCAGATACCAAAACGGTAACTAAATCATATATACCAGCTGGCAATGTTCCTGCTCGAATTGAAATACCACAAGAAAGTGGAAGAGCAAATGATACACGTGAGTCTAAAACACGCTTGAAACGTGGTAGACCAGTTGGTGCTAAGGATAAAAATCCTAGAAAACGAAAGGAAGTTGAAAAGCATGATATTCCCAAAATAGCAGAAAGCATTTTGGAAGAAACGAATCATGAGTCTAATGACAATGATGAGCATCATGATCCTGAAGGAAATCATGAGATTTCTATCAACTACATCCATAATGGAAAGATCTGGGATCGAAATAAAATGGATGATGTTAATGACGTTTTCTCATACCTTTTGTCAAAGGAAATTGATGAGGAAAACGAGGATCCAGAACTAAAGTCGGTATATGAATGTCAAAAGAGACATGACTGGATAAAATGGAAAGATGCAATACAAGTCGAACTTGATTCGCTCAATAAGCGAAATGTATTCGGACCTATTGTACTCACACCTGAAGATGTGAGGCCGGTTGGATACAAATGAGTTTTCGTTAGAAAACGAAATGAGGAAAATGAAATTACGAGATACAAGGCTCGTCTCGTAGCTCAAGGATTTTCTCAAAGACCCGGGATTGATTATGAGGAAACATATTCTCCCGTTATGGATGCTATAACATTTAGATTTCTGATGAGTCTAGCAGCTGGCGAAAATCTAGAGATGCGTCTCATGGATGTCGTTACAGCATATTTATATGGATCATTGGATACAGATATCTATATGAGAGTTCCCGATGGGTTTAATATGCCAAAAACATTAAAATCTAAACCCAAAGAGTTATGTGCAATAAAGTTGCAGAGAGCATTATATGGGTTAAAGCAATCTGGACGAATGTGGTATAATCGTCTCAGTGAGCATTTAATGAAAGAAGGATATGTGAATGATCCTATATGCCCATGTGTTTTCATAAAGAAAACAAATTCCGGATTTGTGATAATCGCGGTATATGTTGATGATCTAAACATAATCGGGACTCAAACAGAAATACAGAAAGCAACAAACTATTTAAAAGGGGAATTTGAGATGAAAGATCTCGGACAAACAAAATTTTGTCTTGGCCTACAAATTGACCATACTCAAAAGGGTATATTTGTTCATCAATCCACATACACCAAAAGAGTGTTAAAACGTTTTAATATGGATAAGGCAACTCCTCTCAGTACTCCAATGGTCGTTAGATCACTTAATGTTGAGAGTGATCCATTCAGACCACCTGAGGAGAATGAAGAGATACTCGGTCCTGAAGTACCGTATCTAAGTGCAATTGGAGCCCTTATGTATCTTGCAAATTGCACTCGACCTGATATATCT